CGTGACGTTCGAGGTACGTCAGAAGCTCTATCTGGTGGGATAATTAGTGAATGACCGAGATATTTCAGCAAGTACGTCACGGTCAAAGTATACAATTCAACCAGGGAAGGCTGACTCTGCAATTCCAGCAAGCTCTTATTTCTGAAAGGAGCTATAAAAGTTTCCCCTGTATAAAGAAAACATGCCATTCGCCCTACACCTCTATCTTTGGCCACAGTCAGAAGCAGTGATCTCATTTAAATATTGTGCTCTCTTCCATAACAGATAGGTTGTGCATATCCGCAAATCGCGTCGATACAGCAGGCATCTTTTTAGGCAGTTCACGTTTATGACCTAGATCAGACCCTGGTTGGTGGAAATCCCTTCTGCATAAATTTCGGCAACGGTAAGAATGGAAATGAAATGCTGAAAAATACCTCGGACGTCTCGTCAGTCAGTTTCAGGGTGTCCTAGGAATTTATATCCCGCGGTTCCTTTGTAGTTTATATTTATTCAGCAGTTGTCGTATTTATATAAATATATAAACATATATTTCAGAGACAAGGAAAATTGTGAGGGTTATCTATAAGTTATAGGTGGTGACTCGTAAATTACTATTGTTTTTCTTTGGAACTCTGTGTGTGGTACGGGCAAGGCCCAACTAGAAGACTTGACGTTTTGGTAATTTTTTGTTTTTCTAGTAATTTGAAGCAGCCTCAAATCCATGATTAGAATCAGGTTGTAACAATGAATTCAGACTAGGCAGGAGTAACCAGTCAAGGATTTGCCTGTCTCCTAATTCCCATAGTCTGTAGTGATGATCAAAGTGCCCTTGACATAAGTCATTAAATTCGTATTTTTAGTGTTATTTCTCAGAAGTGGGAGCATTCGCAGATAACTGTGGTGTTAGACCGCACAAGCCTCCCGAAGGTATTATTATGTTAATACAATTCCGTCACTCTGCAGACAGAAGTATGCACTAAAACCACGCAATTTCTGCGACAAACAGTGCAATGTATCTTTATTAACCACTTAGATACAGAATAGTACATGTAGTAAAAAAATAAAATAAAATAAATAAGCTATATAATATAAATAAAATGTATGAAAATATCAGTAAAAATCAATATAAATATAATTCATATATGTAATGTTCAATTCCATCTGTAAGTACTCAAGGTTATACATTCCATTATTCACTTATGTTACAAAACGCTAAATTGCTTAATGCTATTAATTTTTTGACTTCGTTTTTGAATCGAAAATAATTACTAGTTTGCTGCATTTCAGCTGGTAATTTATTGTATAATTTGGTGCAGTTATAGTAGGGTGGTTTTTTGAAATGTGTCGTGGTACGTGTATGGATGATCTTTAAATTTTGATTTCTAGTATTATAATTATGATGAGCATTAATATTTGGGAACAGGTTATAAAACTTCTTAACGTAAGTTACACATTTCAAAATGTAAATACAGTGTAATGTAAGAATTTCTGGTGATTTAAAACTTTCTCTGCAGGAGTCAATTTTCTTCACTTCAAAAATTAATCTGATGATTCTTTTTTGGGCAACAAATACTCTATTAGTTTCGGAAGATTTCGATGTTATAAGACATATGGCTATAAGCCAGCCCATAATACATTTAGGACATCTTTATTTTGTAAAATGGCATGTTTACTTAAATTTTTACATACATGAAAGATAAGTTTACAATCAAAATGTGTTCCAAGTAATTCAAATGAATCCAAGACCATGCATTTTCAAGTCTAAGTCAAATGTAGGTTGGATGTTAACCTGATCTATTTGAGTTCGTTAGGTTGTCATCATACTTTCTCCAATAGATCATTTTAGAGCTGTCGCCAGAATTTAATCAATTTCTCTTGAACAACAGTGCTCTGCATTGTGCGCTAAACCTCACTTCTTTGAATGGAAAACTTAAAAAATCCGATTGGGAAGCAACTTGCTATCACATGGGGAATACTCAGCTGGCGACATCCACAAAACTAATCAGTATATGCTTAAAAAAGTGGATGCGCAACTAATTTCCAGCTTTGACTCTCAATTAAGTGTATTTGAGACAAGAACCCAATGTAATTATCATCAACACATACAACTTACAGCTTAGACCTCCAGTAATGCCATCTCAGAAGCAGATTTTACATCACATCAGAGCCAAAGATTGATAACAAGCCTCATGATGTTTAGGCAACACGTACAACTAAGTGCTAGGTTGATATCTTATAGAAAAACTTACATAATGTCAAAAAAAACAGCATAATGTCAAAAAAAATCGGCATAATGTCACTTTTCAAGATACCGTGATACCCGTGCGGAAAGTGCACAGTCATGACGCATCAATCAATCGAACTGAATCTTTAAAATCAAAATCTGCAGAGATATTATGTAGAAAGTCTATATAATGTCAATCAAAATCGGTATAATGTCAACTTGTGTACTAGCTAGTCGCTTGTCCATGCCACGCGGACTCCCTATGAACATCACCTATGGAGCAATGGCACAACGACCTAGTGTATGAAAATTCAAAGTTTATATCCTCCACTAGCGCCATCTCTGAAGCAGGTGTTACATCACATCAGAGCTAAACCATATTGTTCAAGTCTCATGAAATTTGAGCAACACGCAGCGTTAGTACAGGTGGGTATGAATGAATGACAGCTAGTTTCATGGTGATCTTTTATCGGAAAAACCTACACAATACCAAAAAATCGATATAATGTCACTGTTTAGTTTCGTTCTGTTTCCAGGAATCGAAAAACTTTTATGATTACTCTTAATACTACAATTTTTAATTGCTTTTGTGCTTCATCACAAAATGAAATACTTTCTATCAAACGCAAACAAGAAATATATCAAGTATTTTCGAGCTTTCTTTGAATCATAATCTGCATAAAAACACTCAGTTTTTCAAGTGTGTCCTTCTACCTTATAAACCCTGCATTGTTTCGTAATAAATATAAATTATGGACCTTGGTTTGTGGACGGAAATAAATTACTATTATACAACCACACGACTATTAAATTAAGAAATAAACCGTTTTAATGTTTTCTGTTGCTTGTTAAGTGGCATATGTCCAGCAATCTTTTTAAATTATGCCTTCTTCCTAGATAAGTAGCCAGTATTCATGCTACTTGAGCAACTTGACATTGTCTTCTAATTATATAGTTCCGAAAATAAATGAATGTCAAATATAGGTATACTCAGTGACATTAGTGTGTTACACTCGGAAAAAATAATTTCTTCAACTTGTTTTTTTGGCAAAATAAAGCGTGTTGTGGCAATTTGTTGTCCTTTGATCTGCATCACAAATATCTGTCATGAGACCACCATAATGAGTTTCTCATTACCGTCATGTACTAACGTTGCCCTCAATCGAAAACTTCCCGTAACTACGAAGTCTCCAACTCTTTGACAAATAGTTGTATCAGCGTGCCAGATAATGTTGTTCTCCTCTTAGCCCATCAAAGTTTCCTTCACTATCCATTATAACACACACTGCGAGCACCGGAACGCGAGAAGCCTGTTAGACACTCCGCGCGTATCAAGAATGGAGCCTACGTTACATCCAGAGATGCATAATTTATTAGAACAATTTGTGTCGCAGTGTATGGCGCATACGTATGCTTCGCCGCATTTGGCTTTAACAGAGATAACATATTGGCGAATTCTCGCTCAGCCTAGCGGAATCCTAGCGACAATAACGGGGATTGAAGCAGGTACATTTGTTTTTCTAGTACTAACTTCCGGTTCTAGAGGGTGACACGTCTTCCGGTTCCTAATCGCCAAGTCTGACTATCATGGTTATCCTATAAGATGTCAACTTGCAGACTAGGTAGTTTTTAGGGCGCAAACAGTCATTCCACGTTTGCTCACTGGGATCGTTGTGAACGTCCATCTATGGAGGAATCACCTAACTAAACTACGCATTATTGGTTGCATAGTTTTGTGAGGCTGAGTGATCCGGGTCTGTAGTTTTTATCTCAGAGAAGAAAGTTGGTTGAATAGCAAGATCGCATCTGGATGATTATGTGTATTGGTCTTCATCTGTATTAAATCAGTGATATTCGCTGTGTGAGAAAATCATTACTGAATATGCCGACTATGACGGGTTATTTATATGTTGTGCTCTCTGCTCAAAGTTATAAATTACGAAAAACTGAGGAGAATTACGGGAAATCATCACCGCGTCCGAGTTGTGTATAATGACTGTTAGGCCGTTTGCACACACACCGACAAAATCGGTGCCGGTGCCGGTACCGTTTCCTGTGCCGGAAAACATTTAATTTCACACATACCGGCGTTTCCGTGCCGTCAATTTTATTCGGTGTTTGGCAGTGGTAAAAGAAAGATGTATGTTTCTGCTTCTAATAAACGTTATCTCCTTGGGTTATTGTATCTCAGGAGGAAGTATCGACAAGCTAAAAAAGTAAGACAACATTGGGTGCATCCTATACTGACTGTCAGATACTTAGAAGGTAGCTTCTACACGCTTTTTGAGAAACTTAGGAAAGACAACTCGAAATTCTTCAATTACTTCAGAATGAGTATTGATACTTTCGATTTCATAGTGGAACGATTATTAAACAGTATCAAACATCAAAATACTCCAATGAGAGCATGTATCCCTCCAAAGGAAATGGTCGCAGTAACAATAAGGTGACTAAATATAAATAAATACACATCTTATTGTTTTTAATGTTTATTTGTTAACAAGTTTATAGGTTAGAGGTCTTGAAAAAAGGTTATAGTGGGTTCAGATAAAGTTGAACTGGGATTATTATAGGTAGGCTGGGCTAGATTACCAGGTAAACACTGCTGTTGACTCTGTTGAAAATCATGAGCATGTTGACTATTACTGGAGTTATTGGAAAGTAGAAATGTATTGTGTGAAAATGGCGTTGATGATCGAGAGGTTGATGTAGATGTGTGACTGGCAAATGCTGGCGATTGCATTTTGTTACGCATGTTAATATTTTTTATTAATTGAAGTACATTCATGCGGAATTACAGCTTATCATCTTCTGACATTTTTCGTACTGATGGAGTAATTGACAGAAAGAATGCCTCATCCTCGTCAGGTGGCTTTTCTAGGGCTGTTAAAATTCTCTTATCTACATCTTCTTGCAAGCGAGGTTTTTTTGATGTGTTCCTGTTTCCTGCAGGCATAGGGTTGATATTTTTTTGGAGTTGCACTTGTACTTCAGACTCCCTCTCGGCTTCGTTTTGGGTTTCTTTCAACAGAGAATGCTCGTTATCCTGGGTGTCATCAATACTTGACTGCGTGTCGTCTGATTGTACCACTTTCAGCAAGAATGTTAGGTTATCATGGTACATATATTTTTTTGTAGTGGCTTGTCCAGATTTTTTCTTCAATGACTTCACAAAAGAGTCACGGATATTTTGCCATTTCCCACGAATTGCTTCACCTATAAGTAAAATTAAAAATCATAGAAGCGTACAATAAAATTATGCAAAACTAAAATTTTTAGATTTATTTTTTAGTTCGCGATATATTGATAAAAGTGCTTTTTAAATTTCAAGTACCTTGCTTCTGGAGCAACATTTACTGATATGCACTACTACTATATATGTAGAATCGGAATAAGCACAATAAGTAAAACTGTTCGTTTGGTATGCAACTCTTTATGGAACTTATTAAAAGACGAATTTCTCCCGCAGCCTACGGAGGAAACATGGCAACGTATAGCAGATAACTTCAAAAAATCCGCACAGTTCCCCAATTGCTTAGGCGCTATCGACGGAAAACACATACGAGTTAACAGATTTCCCCATAGTGGTTCAATGAACCTTAACTACAAGGTTTATTTTTCCATTATTCTTATGGCCGTGGTTGATTCTGATTATAAATTCATATATGTAGATATAGGAGCTTATGGTAAAGACTGCGACTCATCTGTATTTCAACAAACAGTATTTTTTAAATTAATGATGGAAAACAAGTTACATATCCCACCATCCTGTCCATTAGAAGCAACTGGAAAAGATACTTTTCCTTATGTGTTTGTAGGGGACGAAGCATTTGGGCTATCAGAAAACCTAATGCGACCTTACGCTGGACATAATCTTATTGAGAAAAAAAGAATATTCAATTACCGATTAACTCGGGCAAGAAGGTACGTTGAATGTGCTTTCGGTATACTTTCCAATAAGTGGAGAATTCTACACAGAGCATTAAACGTATCAAAACAATTATCTAAAGACATTGTTAAAGCATGTGTAGTTTTACATAATGTGGTGCGAATAAGGGATGCCGACAATTTAGAAATGTATGTAAGCCAGCAAAAGCTACCAAATGTGCAAATAGCTCCTTGTACTAGGCCAACAAAAAATGCAAATTATTTGAGAGATTGTCTGGCAGATTATTTTGTAACTACTGAAGGGATGTTGCCGTGGCAAATGGACAAAATATAATAACTATATTAATTGTGTATTGCTATTGCTCAATATATATGTATATTGACTTACCTATTTTGTGTTGTTCCTTTTTGTCCTTTTCTAGGAAATCTTCTTCAAAAAACGCACACACGTCCTTCCACGCTTTTTCTTTTTCAATCTTATCCTTGAAGCAATCTGCAGTTTTATCCCACAAACAAGGTTTATTTTCTATTGCTTCGATTAAAGTCACAACATCATACTTGAAAATTCTACTCATTGTCAGTACAAAAAAGTTGAAAGGTACAATGAATATCCAACAGCAAACGACCCTATGTATGCACTTCCTACGAGGTTAGCGATATACTAAGAACTTAGATGCATAAATATCCCCGGCACCGGAACGCGTGAGCCTGTGTGGACAAGTATAGATTGTAGAACAGTGGAATCGGCAAATCGGAAGCCGGTGCGTGGTCCGATTGTCGAGTTCACCACCGACTGCATGAATCGGAATCGGTGACCGGACCGTCAAATAAACCGGGCCGGGCTACGTGTGAAAATATTCATTTTATTACATTGCATTCGATGTCGGCATCGTTACCGGCACCGATTTTGTCGGTGTGTGTGCAAACGGCCTTAGCATGTATATGACTTGTAATTCGACAGTGTAAAGTGAATATAATTATTTCTTATCTCTCTCATTCAGCAAATTTCTATGTGTAATTTCCAGAATGGATAAGAAAAAGTGGATGCGCAACTAATTTCTAGCTTTGAATCTCAATTAACTGTATTTGAGGCAAGAACCCAATGTAATTATCATCAACACATACAACTTACAGCTTAGACCTCCAGTAATGCCATCTCAGAAGCAGATTTCACATCACATCAGAGCCAAAGGTTGATAACAAGCCTCATGACGTTTAGGCAACACGTATAACTAAGTGCTATGTTAACATCTTGTAGAGTAACCTACATAATGTCAAAAAAAAAACAGCATAATATGAAAAAAATCGTTATGTTTTTCAGAAAGCTACTGACGGATTTAGAAAAATTTTATCTTTTGTAGAACCTCTACATCTTCACCACGTGCTAAGCAGGCCTACAGTGACGTGTGAGATTGTCATTTTTGACGTACGATTGATTTAAACTCTTCTCGTTACATGGGTTGCATACCTCATAGGATTACGTGAGGTATTAAAAGAAATTTACGTTATGGTACAAGACAAATGGTTATCAAAATTAATAAATCTTATTCTGGAAGTACTGTATTTTCATTGTTGCGTTAGGAAATACGAAAGAAATTCAAAACTTGAGGAAAGGTAGATAGACACACGTCATGTAGGTATAACCTTCTATACCAAAGTACACCTGTTTTAAGACATCTGAAACATAGAGTAAAAAAACACAAGCGTTGGCTGACGAAACCGTGTGCTGTTGCCATAAGATCTCTAATGTGAAAAGTCATTTTTTTCAAATCCACAATTTAACGTATCGTAGGAAATTATTGCTTCACAATTGACTTCTGAAATTTACAGGAAATCTGTTCATCTCTGTCAGCTATCCTTTCAATCCAGAACTAATATACAACATCGATTCATCAATGAGACGACACCTCTGGTTGGCTGTTCTGAATTCACAGAAACTATTAAGGGCAAGCTATATTTACATGGGATAACTGGTCGGATATATACAAGTTCTATGCTGTGTCATATGGAAAACTTTATAACCCGAAAGTTTTCTCTTTAGTGCTCTGTTTGCTGAGAATTTCACGGATTTCAAAACCAGGACACACAGGAGTACGGACAAAGTGGTGAGCATGAACAAAAACGGTGAAGTGAGTGCTTAGAGAGATCACAGTTCAGTAGAGATGTCGTAAATAATGAAGTCGACGTCGTATTTTCAGTCGCTCCTATTTGCCTTCCTACTTCGAAGAATGCCTTTTTTACCCACCAAAAAAAAAAATAAATGAAGGTCATGGACAGAAAGGCGTCCTTTGAAGTAGAAAGGCTAATAGCGACCGTTGATTGTAAAATGGTGGCCCTTCTGAAGTCGGGTGCTTGTTTTTGGATGGACTGAAAAGAAGAAGGCCAACAGGCAAAATACGATTTTTGATCTTTTATTGACCGAACGGGCTTCCAGCAGAGGGTAAGAGGTAGGAAAAACATTCCCGATGATAGCTCACTTTCACTGCAGACTTCAAGGAATGCAGTCAAAGCTTGCGAAAAGTGACATTGCTCATTGACGATAGTTTTAAGCTTTGGATGGGGGTTGAGTAGCCAGGTTTGTTAGCACGTCGAGTCGCTAGCACATAGGCTCAAAGGCTCGCGGGCTTGAATCGCTCGGAAGTTACATTTTGAGCCAAGCCACAATAGACCAAAGAGTCGCAGTGGAGGATTATTATGGATGCACTCACAAGAAACCTAACCGAACCTATATTTTGAGCCATATATAAATATGAACCCAGCAGATAGGTGCAAGATCAATTAGGTACATGCCGTCTCTGGGGCTTGTCAATACATTAATCAGTTAGAATTATTTAAGCATGAGGTACAGTGTCGGAATAACGGGGCCGGAAAAGAGGGTCAAAGGTAGCCTACCGGGCTTCTCCTCCCCATACTACTCGTTCTCGAGAAGAATGACGAAGTTATATGGATACACAATCCAGAGTGGGGGGAGTCTTGACGATTCATGGTTTTGAAATTTTGAAGAAAATATTTAAAGCGGAATAATCGAAGCTCCAAGAGAGATGTCAAGAATGAAGTAGTGAGACGATAAGACATTTTTATGGAACAAAAAAATTGCGATCGTTCACCTAGACAAAAATATTCAAAATTGCTTGAAGGCAAAATATCGGTATTTTGGAAATTAACTATCTGTCCAAGTCTGGTAATAAAGTGTTTATAATCATTATAAACAGTCACGCACGTCCTTGTCCGGTACAGGTTCAGAAACCAAGTTGCTTGAACATTGATCATTGGAATCTACTGCCATACTTAGGTAAAATTAATCAACTATATTTATTAAATTTTGATTAAAATACATTTAATTCATGTATGATTGTAATTACAAAAATATTTATTTTTTCACTTTGATCACCCTTGACTGTAACGTTCTGGCCATCATCGTTTTTGAAGAAGTACGGACCAATGATTCCACCAGCCTATAAAGCGCACCAAACAGTCAGTTTTTCTGGATGTAACGGTGTTTTGACATAGACTTGAGGATTACCTTCACTCCAAATGCGGCAGTTTTGTTTGTTGACGTAACCATTCAACCAGAAGTGCGCTTCATCGTTAAACAAAACTCGCTTATGAAAATGGGGAACAACGGCAATCTCGTTTTGGGCCCGTTCAACGAATCTACGCCTTGCTTGATGATCGTTTGGCTTGAATTCTTGCACGAGTTGGATTTTGTAAGCACGCAAACCAAGATCCTTCCGCAAAATCTTCCATAAAGTGGATGGATACAGATCCAATTCCTGTGCTCGATCGCGGATGGACTCATTCGGGTCTTCCTCGATGCTACGCTCTACTGTAGCAATAGCTTCTTCTGTACGCACCGTACGGCATCTCTGGGAATACGAGTTATCAATTAGAGTAAATGTGGTGCGAAAACGTTCCATGGTTAATCGAATGAACTGCTCTGATGGACGATTTTGTCGACGATAAAATGGACGTAGTGCGCGACACGTATTCCGCACAGAACCATTATTTTCGAAATAAAACTGCACAATTTGCAAGCGTTGTTCAGGCGTGAGTCTATTCATAATGAATTGCCAAACCAAACTGAGAATAGATCACTTGACAGCTGTCAAATCGGTCGCCATCTTCAAAAGTAATGCCAATTTAAGGTTCTATACGTCGAAAAAAAAAACACTCGTTACATTCAGCCTTATGTCATAACAATATTATTTATTTAATTAGAAAAAATCAAGAACGTTAAACTCAATTCTCTCAGACTTTATCTTCTACCCAAGTACGGTAATATAGTTATTTATCGCATTTGTGACAGATAATATGATCAGCATTTTCAATGCACCATCAGTTAGCAGCTTGCAACCAAGTTACCGCTATCGTATTTTAACGAGATCTCTTAATCACATCTCCGGGTATCTATTTCAAGCTTGCCCGATTATTAAAAGTAGGTTCGTTTCTCCAATTGACGCACATCTTCAGATCTCAGTCCAACTTTTGTGTCACTTTCCAATGATATATTGCTGGAGTCGCACACATCTGGTCGCCGGCCTGCTCAAAGAAAAAGAATATGGATTCGCAGGTCCGGATTTTGCGATCAGTAGAAGCGAAATTGCGCATAGTATTAATTCGATGTTGACGATAACACAAATAGTATTTTTTCACGCATTCAGGACTTGATCACAATTATTTAAGAAAGGTATTGGTAGAGGTTGTTCAATCAAGGTAGCTTCTTATAATGTAGCTGCCATGAAGGCAGAACCGGAATACCGAGATATGTCATTAGGTCAATAGATAACATAATTCACATCTCTCGACTCAGCAAGGTAATTTTCGCACCAAGATACAGCAATATATACCATTTTCTCTCCCCTAACCCAATGCCTGCTCACCACCAACAGTCTTCATCTGGGCACCTCAAGGAATACCCAACTAGCAAAGTAGTGGTATAAGCTTTTGGTAAAAGAACCGTTCATCCATAAAAGCTCTCTATTGTTGTTGCCTGAACACCAAAATGCTAGCTTAATGTTGTGTGTAATGCAAATTTGCTTTCTGCAACATATTTGCTCTAAAATGAGGTGTTTAAAATATTCTTATAGCATAGATATATAACACCTTATAGGGCAAATTTTTAACTGTTGCATAAACGTTTATACAACTATTTTATACGGCATATTTGCACGATAGTCAAAATGGTTGTGTTGTGACATCCATGCTAACGTTTATAAAACAAACCCGAGCCTTGTTGCTTTGCTGTGCAATTTACTACATTAGCCAACGGAAGCACATATACAACTGTTACATATGCTAAATATGCTGGTAAACAACTTCACCATAACCTAACTTTCTGCTGTCATATTTTTGTTAAAATGCCATAACCAATGTTTTAAGACAAACAACGCAAGCATATCGGTTCAAAAGGTTTTATCAACTGTTCAAATAGAATATATAGATCTGGTACAAATTCTGGGTAAATCATTCGACTCTGTCGGTATGTCATTTCAGACATTTGTCAAATTGTTGTATAACACCTGCAGGAAACACCAAAATATTCTAATAACCTAGACACAACATGGACGATGCCATGATTGTACACAACCACCCGCCATATTGGGCAAACATGTATCCGTCCGTATTTAATATTAAATAATTATGTTTCAGTTCGAAATTAACATAATTATTTAATATCAAATAGAGGAATAAATGTTTGCCCAATATGGCGGGTGGTTGTGTATAATCATGGCATCGTCCATGTTGTCTTTAGGTTATTAGAATATTTTGGTGTTGCCTGCAGGTGTTATACAACAATTTGGCAAATGTCAGAAATTAAATACCGACAGAATCGAATGATTTACCTAGAATTTGTACCAGCAATATCTTCTGTTTGGACAGTTGATAAAACCTTTTTAACCAATATGCATACGTTGTTTGTCTTAAAACACTGGTTATGGCATTTTAACAAAAATATGACAGCAGAAAGTTAGGTTATGGTGAAGTTGTTTACCAACATATTTAGCATATGTACAGCCTGTAACAGTTACTAAACAGCAGTTGTATAAGTGCTTCCGTTGGGAGCAATTTGTTGGCTAAAGTAGTAAATTTGCACAGCAAAACAACAAGGCTCGGGTTTGATTTATAAACGTTACCATGGATGCCACAACACAACCATTTTGACTAACCTGCAAATATGCCGTATAAAATAGTTGTATAAACGTCAATGCAACCGCTAAAAATTTGTCCTATAAGGTGTTGTGTAACTATGCTATAAGAATATTTTAAACACCTCATTTTAGAGCAAATATGTTGCAGAAAGCAAATTTGCATTCCACACAACATTAAGCCACCATTTTGGTGGTCAGGCAACAACAATAGAGAGCTTTTATGGCTGAACGGTTCTTTTACCAAAAGCTTATAGCACTACTTTGCTAGTTGGGCTGTAAATGTTGCATCTTTGCTATCAGTGCAAGACGTACTACTATTAAAAGTTTCTGATCCCTGTAATACTGAAAATACAAATGACAAATCAGACGAATAATTTGATAGTTGAAATAATGAACGACCGATTCTTCGACGTAGCCGTAGGCTGATTTAGCGCTGTGTGCCGATGGACTGCCGATGTTGGGGATGCGGGGAGCAATAAAATGTTTATAATTGTATATGATAAAGATGTTAGGAATAGGTATCACTTTAGCGTTATGCGTAATGGTGTGATTGAGTGTGGAACTTGAAAACCGTCGATATTTTTTTTATTTTGAGATATAGGGGTTTACGACGCATCATATTTAAGTGAACATACTCAATCAAGTTATGTTCTAAAGTTAGCGAATCTGAACGAAGGCATTGAAAGAATTTAAATTCTTTTGCTATACATTTTTGTAGTAAAGTTTGTTCTCAAAGGAGCTAGGTTGTGCCGAGGATGATCCTTAATTCTTCATCCTGCAGAGCTGCGTGCGACGTGTAAAGTCAGCCAACTCGACGCCATTGTTTGAGATGGATTGATCACTGACAAATTTCCGGTTATCTAATTATTTTCATACTCCCCTCTCTGTAGTCTGTACACACAGTGTTTCATGTAGTTTTGAAATAGAACGCAGTTCGACCGCCTCTGGCCTAGCTTATCCATGCTGCTTGACCAGACGGC